TTATTTTCTTCCAACTGTGAATTGTTGCATATGAAAATTAAAGAGGTATATATTTGAAAATGTAAGAAGGAGGTTCTCATGAAATGAGAAAAGACAGTCTCTAAAAGATCTTCAGAGACAAGATAAGCATATGTGTAGTATGACCCAAGTAGGAGGAGTGAGCTGGGAGAAAAAAAATCACATTTGTTCAAAAAAAGAGCAAAGTTAGAATGTTATTTTTATGGCATTTCAGACAGATCTTAACAACAAAAGACTGTATTTATCTAGTCAAAAGATTAAAAAGTTGCAAAATAAGATTTTATGTGACTTGAGATTTATGTACAAATTTACAAATTACTACATATCTTTCAAGACTGTTAACAGAAAGATTCCTCTAGAATCAGGAGAGGCTTGAATGTGAAAAATGAAAGGGATGTCCAAATCAGAGAGATGTTTGCCACTGAATGGTCAGAGAGAGAGGCATGCACAAAATATGGTAAAGCTCCATATTAACGATATTGAATTTTCACTAAGTACAGAAAAACACATGTTGGAGACAGATCTGGGTTTTACCATCTGTAGTTGGTGACAGGATTCTAAACAGTAGCTAAGTTAATATTTGCCAATGCTGTTAACCACAGATTCTTTTTCATTATTTAGATCCCTGTTACAGGGAAAGTGTGATGTGGATTCAGGAGAGAATGCAGTGGACAAAAATACTGAAACCTGTGAAAAACATGCTGAAGAGTAAGGAGAGAAGAACAGAACAAAAGAAATTATACTACAGCAATCATCTTTTCCATTACTGTAGCCATTCAATCAGATTATTTCACTATTTAGATCAACAACAAAGCTCAACTGGAACTGAAGTTGGCCAGAAATGTGGGGGACAATGAAAAGAGTTTCTTCAAATACATTAATGGCAAGAGGCAGTAGAGAAATACCATTGGCCCGTTACAGGATGAGGATGGTCACCTCACAAACAGGGACAGGGACAAGGCAGAAGTGGTCAACACTTTCTTTGCCTCTGTCTTCAACACAGATGATGGACCAAGGGGGTCCTGAGCTGGAGGGCCATGACTGAGAATGATCAACTCCCAGTCAATCCTGAAACTGTGTGGAATCTGCTGCTCCAGCTGGATCCCTGCAGATCTATGAGGCCTGATGGGATTCATCCAACAATCCTCAAAGACCTAGCTGATGTCATCACAAAACCTCTCTCAATGATTTTTGAGCAGTCTTGAGATCCAGATAGGTCCCAGATGATTGAAAGCCAGCAAGCATCCCAATTTTCACATAGGGCAAGAAGAAAGACCTTGGAAACTACAGGTCTGTCAGTCTCACTTCAGTGCCTGGGAAAGTTATGGAGAAGATTATTCTGGGAAGTATTGAAAAATGTCTGAAAGACAACACAGTTGTTGGTCACAGTCAGCATGGCTTCATGACAGAAAAGTCCTGCTTATCAAACCTGATTTCCTCCTATGACAAAGTAACCCACCTTGTTGATCAAGGGAAGCCAGCTCATATAATCTTTTCAGATTTCAGTAAAGCTTTCGATGCTGTCTTTCACAGGATCCTTCTGGACAAAATGTCCAGCATACAGCTGGATAAACACATCATGTGGTGGGTGAGCAATTGGCTCACAGGTCAAGCACAGAGAGAAATAGTGAATGGGGGAACATCGGCCTGGTTAGGCCCTGTGATTTCAACATCCTCATAAATGACTTGAACATAGGACTGGAAGGGATACTAAGCAAATTTGCAGATGACACAAAACTGGGAGGAGCTGTTGACTGCCTCAAAGGCAGGAAGGCCCTGCAGAGAGACCTCGAGAAATTGGAGAAATGAGCAATCACCAACCATATGAAGTTCAACAAGGGGAAGTGCCAGATTCTGCATCTGGAATGGGACAACCCTGGATGTTCATACACATAGGGGAATGAGATGCTGGAAAGAAGTGCCATGGAAAAGGGACCTGGGGGTCCTGGTCTGTAGCAAGTTGAATGTGAGTCAGCAGTGCCCTGGCAGTCAGGAGGACCAACTCTCTCCTGGGGGGGCATCAGGCAAAGCATCACCAGCCAGCAAGGAAGGGGATTGTCCCACTCTGCTCTGCACTGGGGCGGCCTCACCTTGAATATTGTGAGCAGTTTGGGCACGACTATATAAGAAAGATATTAAGCTACTGGAGAGTGTCCAAAGGAGGGCAACAAAGATGGTGAAGGGCCTTGAGAGGAAGCCGTGTGAGGAGTGGCTGAGATCACTTGGTCTGTTCAGCCTGGAGAAGAGGAGACTGAGGGGATACCTCATCACAGTCTACATCTTCCTCATGAGGGGAAGAGTAGTGGCAGGCACTGATCTCTTCTCTGTGGTGACCAGTGACAGAACCCAAGGGAATGGCCTGAAGTTGTGTCAGGGAAGGTTTAGGTTGGATATTACAAACAAGGTTCTTCACCCAGAGGATGGTTGAGCACAGGAACAGGCTCCCCAGGGAAGTGGTCACAGTGCCAAGCCTGACAGAGTTCAAGAAATGTTTGGATGATACTCTTGGGCACATGGCATGACTCTTGGGGATGGTCCTGTGCAAGGTCAGGAGTTGGACTTGGTGATCCTTGTGGGTTCCTTCAAACTCAGTCCATTCTGTGATTCTGTTACTCTATGATTCTATGGATTTTGATACAACTGTGGTATTTGCCCAAATACTTGACGCAGTTGAAGGACTCCATTGAGTTAAACAGCCTTTGAATCAGTGTCTGTCCTGCCCTCTCAAACCCAACAATACACTTTTGCCCTATAACATTCTCAAAAGGCAACTTGCCTAAGTCAAACTAGCACATCAAAATATTGTTAGCACTAATTAACTAGTAAATCAACAATTATTTTACTAGTTAGCATATCAGTGCTCCCTAGAGTAATTTTTTATGACTCAGTTATTTTATTTTCTGCAAATATCCTTACCAATTAGAGTGAGGCAAGTGTATGATTATTTAGAAACATGATTCTTATTATTTGAAAATTAGAAGATGTATTAGATCTACATTTTTAGAAAGTCTGGCTTGAAAGTCAGAAAACAAAGAGCTTACTTTGAAGTTAATTTATTTTTGAGCTCTAAATAATATGTGATTCCAGTTGAATGCAGTTGTTTTCATTAATCCATCAGAGTTGAATTAAAACTGTGTGAAACTGCTCAAAGTCCATTTTACTCATAGCATGGGGATGTTTAGTTGAGGAAGACCAAATTTTCAAGTATTTCTCTGGCTATGTTTTCTTAGCTAAGATGAGGAAAAATTATATTCTGGCCATGTCTGATCTTCAATTGTCATTTTTTTCTTATAGCTTTCTCTTAACTTTTCAGTTTTTTCTCTCTGTACTATGTAACGTGAAACAAGTGTCTTCGTCTTTGGAAGTTATATTGCAACTTATAGTAGTTTTCAATAAAACACAATACTTATATTACTAGAGTAGTAAATTTTACTTAAGTGCACTTAGAATTATTTTAAAACTGTTGTGCCGTGGTTTTTTTGTGAAAACTATATTTACATTTAGGTGAGCAGATATTTTCTGGATATAAAATACGCATTTTATACGTATCTATAGTTCTATAGCTCACAGACCATGCGCTTACACAAGTAGAATAGGGTTTTTCCTAAGGCAATAAATACTTCTCTATTACTATAAAATATTATATTTTATAGTGTTAGGCATTATCAATTGTATTTTACTAAAACACTGAAAATAAATCTGATTTTTCTGCAAAGGGAGACCAAGGGAATCAAAGGATTAACACTACACAAAGGCAACCACGAAAACTCATCATCCCCCAGTTAAGAGAGAAAGTTGATCAAAAGACATTTTTCTGCTATTAAGAATTTTGATTCATTTACACAGCTAATGGTTGCAGTAGCTGGGGGCACTGCCCTTGACTTTCTTTTGCCACCCCTCTGCTGTATCTCACTGCAGCTACGTAATGAGATCAGAAGCTTGCCCAGCTCTTATCTGCCTCACTGTATATTCTCTATCTCCTTAGCTCAGCTCTTCCTCCACTCCCAATTGCCACAGGATGCCAAACTCTGCCCTGAAGTGATCAGTGTGCACACATAAGCTCTCTCCTGCCAGCTCTGCTGTGTGGGCAGTAGTCTTCAACTAAGAGGAGTACCAATAGCTAAGACGACTGTATCTTAACTATCTTTTTCTGAAAATTTTAAATGGAATATTTTCATGACATTTTTCCCATGACTAAGAAAAAGAGAACTTGAGTTTGCATTAAGATAGATAGATAGATAGATAGATAGATAGATAGATAGATAGATAGATAGATAGATAGAAAGAAAATATGGTTTAAATTATCAGTCTTTCTGCTTTTATTGTGAAGACTGCCAGCTAAAATCCAGGATACACTTGTATGTCAGAGACGTATATTTTTCTCTCTCAGAAATACTTAGAGTATATTAGCAAGACTGGCTAGAAAAGGCTTAGGGAAGCAAGCAGGTGTGTGTTTGATGTATTTTATTCCAGTTTTCATGGAAAAAAATCCAAAATCTAATGTATTCTCCATAAATAAATAAGACTGTAATTGAGACTAAGTATTTTCATCCAAAATTTTGGCTGGCTGCTCGGATAAATCCATTCTAACAAAGAAAAACTAGGAAGATTTTAGGTAGGTAAAAATAAGTCTCTAAATTAAAGTGATTAGTGTTCAGTATTTACTTTTAAGTTCAGTATTTACTTTTGCAACAAACAGTACGGATTATAGGAGACGTTTCCTGCTGCCTTTGAAAGAAAGCACTTCAACCAGCAGATAAACTTCAGATGTGTTACTTGTCTAATAAATGAGCAGCATCACATTTCAGAGCATTTCTATGTTTTTTTAGAATTCCTTTTCCAGTCTCACCTACTACAAGCCTGCTCAACACATGAAGTACTGTCAAACTGTAGTATTGGTGAGATGATTAAGAGCTAAAAATCATTCTGATTGCAGTAGCAACAAATTAATGTAAATAATTCACAGCAACATGCAGACTGACCTGTCCAGTAATAGGTTAGGTGCAAATAAAAGCTTTCCTGGGTGTTCCATGGAGCGCCAGACTAAGCCAATCATCAGTATCTCTAACCAGGCACATTCCAGTAGATGAACCTGATCATGGAGTGTTAAATCCACAAATCCTGAAAGAATAAATTGAAGACAGTAAAAACACTCTAGTTTTGTAACTGCAACAACATTATTCAGAGAACCAGGTTAAAAAGTGCATTAAAGCTGGATAACCAAAAAGAGCAAAAAAAGAGACATTTTTTCACTTTTTTTTTTGGACTGAGTTTTGTCTGTTATTAGGTCCATCCTAATAATGATTCCATCCTACAGAACAGCCAGTACTTTCTAGTCCCCTCTTTGTGTTCTGGCTGTATCCTTCGCCAAAAGCAGAGCAAGTGCCAGGACAGCATCTGCACCCCTTCACCTGTTGCCGGTGGCTTGGGAAGCCACTCTAGAAAGGGGCATCTGTCCACTCCAGTGCCATGTTACTCGGGGCATGATGGAGATAAAATGGAAAAATGCCTTACAAAATTAAATGACAGCTCCAATTAGCTAACCCAAGATCAATTTTCCTGGTGGAATGCTGTTTTATAGACTCATGAACAATTCATCCTACTGCAAACGCTGTACTTGTGTGGAAGAGGGCCCAGATATAGCATTTCAAATAAACTAGTAAGCAAATGCTGATTACTGCACAATCAGAATTCACTGATGAAACACTTGTTTATATTTCTATTGGTATATAGCACCTGGAGGAAGGAGGTGACGTCTCTTACTCTATATTTAAACGCTGGAAACAATGAATGTAAAATGAAGAGATTGCTTAATTACTAAAAAAATTAATATGAAAGAATAATGATGAAGGTAGATATGAAAACATAATCACAGTGGTCCTTCCTGTGTTCATTACATGGAATAGATTGCATTATTCTCTATTCGAGTTTCTCACTTTTCATGAATGTTACCTTCAATCCAAAGGGATTTTCCTTCTGTATTGTGTCTTCTCTGTATATACTAAGTTAGTTTTGAGGAATATACCTGACATACCCTCAAGTGCCATCTTGAGAAAAAGGAAGAAAAAAGGTACATGTTTTTAAAGATAAGTGTTGTGCTATGAAATATATTTTTCAAATAACAAAGAGGTAGAGAAGAAAAAAATACAGTTCACAATAAGTTTGAAAATACTGTTATGTTTGGTAAAACAGTTGTTGACATAATTATTTCTAATGACAATATCTAAGAGAGCTAATCAATCTATTCACAAAGAATCATTAAAAAAAAAGGAAATAGCTTTGACATATCTGAAATAAAACCCACCTATCAATCACTAGAAGTGAATTTAGACAGTTGCATTACCTGATGTTTTTATGAAAGTGGTAACAATAGGGGAAAAATAATTGCCTTTTCCTGTATTTTGCCTTTATTATCAAATACAATTTTCAGACTTCAAAGACTGATGGAATGGCATTTTTCTGAGTCACCAAACAGCCTGAACAATAGAGCTGAAACTTAAAAGAGCAACATTCTTAACAACAAAGCATTGATTACAGCACTCAAACAAAACTGGCAGAAAGAAACTCTCAGTATATGAAGAACAAATAACAACCCCCATGTTTTCTTTTAAGTATTGCCTTAGTATGACAACACATAATAATGCAGTGCTTTTTCCTACACTTGAAGAGTATGACAGAAAAGCAGGGTCGTGAGTCCAGGTGTGGTGTCTGAAGTTTGCGATCACTGCCCTCCTTACAAGTCAGTTACACTGACATCATTTCACATGGCTGCAGACTTTCCTGCAACAGATTGTTTTGATTCTTGCAGAAAAACTGAGCTTGTCACATCAGTGGCAATTCACTTTCCTTAAAACTGTGCTCATTCTACGATATTCTGGATACCAAAATGCTTTGCTTTGTCTTCACACTGTCTCAGTCTTTATTTTTCCTGCACTTATTCTCAAAAACCTTTTAAGCCCTTTTATTAGCTCTATTTTCCCCATCCCCACAGATGAAATTCAGATTGCACCAAGGCCAAGTAATCTGCACAAAAACTAAAGAGAGAAAGTAAAAAATAAAGTTAATAAATTACCTCACTGATACTGTAGAGCAGTGATATTGTGTTGGCCTACTGAGAATAGATATATACTACCCAACATCTTGCAAAGTAGTTGAATGTGAATACTTTGCATCAAAAAGTCCTAAAAGGATTGGTCAACAATACTAATTTTGTCTAGAATTTTAATTCCATAAACTCAGTACAGTTAAGAAAATTTTAAAAACTTAGGAATGGAAAGAAAAATTATTGTGGGTCCATAGTTTAAATTAAATGATCAGTCAGCCTGACACCAACCTTGCATATCAGAGCTAACATAGACTTTGATTAATGCAGGTTTAAAAGTCTGTATTTTAATAATACACATCAACTGTAATTCATAGAAAAATCTTACCAAATTGCCTTGATGACTTTTTTAGATGACATTTTAAGTTTATTACCTTGCTGTAGATAAAACTAGTGAGCTAGTTTAGTTGATAAAACTAAACATCTTGCCCAGAGAAGCTGTGGATGTGCCATCCCTGGGAGTCTTCAAGGCCAGGCTGGGCAGGACTTTAAGAAAACTGGTCTAGTGGAAGGCATCTCTGCCCATGGCAGGGGGGTTGGAGCAAGATGATCTTTAAGGTCCCTTCCAACCCAAAACATTCTATGGTTCTATGAAATAACAATTTTGATGAAACAGAGTTCTGTGAGACATTTGATTTTGTAAAAACATGCAACACATTAACTGAATGAAAATATTTTATATTACATATCTCAGTACGGCAAAAGGGTAATAATAAATTGAAGTGTTTCTAAAGAAAGGACATACAGTTTACTTTTCTACCCTAGACAAGTTTTTAATGACATGGAAAAAACCAGAAATCATAATTCAAACATCCTGTTGGTGTGTGGGAAATAATGCAAAAGCAGGTTGATAATGTAAGCAATGTAAATCACTCACTAGCTTCATCATAAATAAGTTTAAAACCAAGAACATTCAGCATATTTACAAGACAAAGCTATGATATAATTATACAGTAGCAGTTCTGAAGAGGAGTTGGAAATGATGGAGAAAAATTAGCCCAGTTTGATCTACATCTAATGGAGACAATGAACTTCATAAAAATCCAAGGAGAGCATAAGAAAGCTGAATTACCTCGGTGTTACCTGAATCCTTCAAGTGGGATGAGAAGTTGGACAGAATGATAGAAAAACATCAAAATGAATAAAGCATTGAAAAATATGCCCTCTAGTGAGGAATAAAAGGAATTCAGTTACTTTTTGTAAAGCTAAATAGTCTAGAGGGGTTAAAGGACAGCAATGGGAAAATATCCAAAGAAAAAGAGGATTTTGCATTGCAAAAGGTAATAAGATAACAAAGAGAAGCTCATGCTGAAAACTAAATCTGCTCCAAGTCAGAATACAAAAGAGAGGCCATTGTTAACAACAAAAGTAGGTATTATCTAAACAACATATTAAGTTTCCATGAATTTTCTATCATTAGAAACACTAATCAAGATGTAATGATTATTTTCAAGACAAAGTCTTGTTCAAGCAAGTTAATTCAGAATAATGTCACAGAACGTTAAATTAAATTATGAATAAATCATTAATCACTTCATCATTTAGAGCATGCTGCACTTTAATGTTGCTGAAATTATGTGTAGTTGTGCACAGCATTCTCAAATATCAGTGTTCTTTTAATGCTGGCAAGTTTTGAAAAGTATTCAAAAAGTATTTTTTAATTCTAAATTTTTGGTTACTGTGCTTTAAGAAAGAAGAAAGACATTCACTTCATTGTTGATAAATTAATTAGTTGCATTTGGATGTAACCTATATCTGACTCCGTACACCAGACTGACCAATTGCGTGACATTATGGGACATATCAAGATCGTCATGCGGCCAAAGCCCACAAGACCTAGATTGCCACTAATCCATTCATCTATCACATGCTTGGCAGGAAAAAGACACAGAATAAAAGCCATGGCTAGACCATCTTTTTCTTTTTTTTTTTTTTTCTCCAAATAAAGATAAATTAACAGTATTTTTGAGTGATTATCAACAACAAACACAATGATTGTTCCATGAACTCTTGTATGAATATGGAAATCTGAACTTCTGAAAAGCCAGAATGGTCTTCAGAGTACTCAGCTAGGAGTAGGTGGTAAATAAAGTTACCTGTAGAACACAAAACTGTAATTTTCAAATTAAATTTACTATTCTTTCTAATATAAAACAGCAGTACATGCTGCATCAGTGACAATATGATATAAATCTCTCTCATTTGGACAATAAGACAGCACAAAGCAGCAGTGGGTCCATGGAGGGAAAGCTATTAAAAGCCCTGTTGTGGTAAGCATGGCTCTCTAGGAATGGCATTAGATTTGGGAATCCAAAATTGTACGATCCTACCATCCTAAAAAAATGAAGGCAGTAGCCATTCACTATAGGTATGAGCAAATCTCTTTGTAACCTGGAAGTTTAGGCAGCTGCCCAAGGGCAACACAAGGACTGCTGGAAATAGTATTCAATAAAGCTTACAAACCTGAGAAGAGAGAAGTGATTTATGCACTAAATTGCTTGATTGCAATAAGAAACAACAGGAAACTCAGATGATTTTCATTTATTGATGCTGTTAACATACACTGTGAACCCTGCAGTCCTATAAAATAACCACTACCAACATATGCGTTTGTATATATATGTGTGTGTAAACTTGCACCAATCATTTTGAAACTAATAAATTCATCACTTGCCTTAGTGACTTTTGACCAAATAAGTAGATTTCTGTTTTATCAGAAATGATTTCTCTAGCAATTACCATTCTCTGAGGCCCAATAGCAAGCACCATTGCAGATACAACCCTACAACAGTAAGTCCTCCAGTGGGTCCTTACTACCATTTGGAAATCATTACCACAGTTTTGCAGCTTCTACTCATATTCATAAGACACAACTACAAGATGTTAAAACTGTTCAAAATCAGTCAGGTAGGGGCAAACACAAACAATAGAGAAGCCTTTTTACATCTAATCCAGTTCTAATCTAAACTATATGTTTATACTACATCTCTTAATTACCATGATGGATACCTAAAATATA